CGAATGCGAATGCTCGAGACAAATCGGAATTTTGCAGTTTTACATTGCGAAATGCTTGGAATAGTGAACGAGAGAAAAAGAGAGAGAGAGAGAGAGAGAGAGAGAGAGAGAGAGAGAGAGAGAGAAGCAGAGAGAACATACACGCGACTTCCCCAGGAAGAGGGAGTGCACGCTCTCTCGCAATCACGCGCGGGAAAAACATTCGATTCGCCGGCGCGTATATATAGGCGCGAGAGGAGAGATTATCTCGGGAGCGCGCGAGGAGAGGGCGGCAGAAGTATATAAGAGGAGTAGACGAAAACGTCACATTAAGGGAGAATTATGTGGCGAGGCGTGAGAGGGCCCGCGTGGGAGTTCCACTCGTCAATTAATAGTGTCCCTTCGTGCCGCAGAGTCGCGGGTGGATTTCGTCGAGGGCGAGTTTCCTCCGCGCGGAAAAGCGATGGGGCAGATCACGATCCACGCTCGTTAATGTTTAACGCGTGCGACTGGCGATCGGCCACCTGCGCCCGCAACCGACCGCGAGATGGACTTTCTCTATGTCTCTACGTCTCTCGACGCGCCTCGACGGCTATGAAAAGCAGCGGAGAGATATCGGCGAGATATTTTATTGCCCCATGGCGCGGCGGAAAACGCCTGTTTGAGCAATACCTGCTTCGTCGTTGGCGGGTGAGCGGGAAAACTTCGCCTCGAGCCTCTAAATTATTTTTTATCTTTTTTTCTGCCGAGACACGTGTTAGTTGCTAATGTTCCCGTGTCCTCGCCGCGGCCATCTTGATGAATAACGTCAGAAGCGAGCGAACGTGGAGAAAAATAATTTGCTGGCCCAGCAAATTTTCTGCTGGTCTAGCAAAGTCTTTATATATGGACAATCATTATTATATGGACAGCAAAAAGATTTGCTAAGAATACTGATCACTATTCGCTGGATATAATTTGCTGAATCTACAAATTATTTTGTTATAAGGACTACGATGGATTTATATAAGCAATCGCAGTTTTGCTCCAATAGCAAAAAAATTTGCTAAGAATACGTTATTTTGCATCAATAGCAAATTAACGTGATTTGTAAGACAAATACACTCAACAAATTTTTTCTATCTTGGCAACGAAACTACTTCTGTTCTGATAACGAATAATTTGTAAAATTAGTTACGTCAACTAAATTTTTTTTGTCACTACAAATAATAACAACGATAATTTTGATAAAAGAGCAAAATTATTTTTCTCCATGAATGTATGTCCGAAATTTTTGCGGAGAGTACGTCGAGATGAAAGATTATGTTCATGAAACGTTATCGATTGAGCACGTTTGAAAAATATTCTGAAAACCTTCCTCTTGCTCTAACAATCAGTAAATAGCCATAAAATTAACGTGACAACATCGTAAGGAAAGAGCAAAACGAGCGTTTGCGTGCCATGTTAATTTTACGGTTATTTATTGATTGCTAAAATAAAAGAAAAGTTTGCGAAACATCTTACAAATATGTTCGTTCGATCCTAAGGAGTTCATTTTATGGACATACCTTTTTATTCCAACGCATTTCACAGAAAGCTCGGACACATATTTTCTCGCTACTAACATCGAGAATTTTGCGGCGAGAGGGGAGAGGGCGGGCCAGGAACTTCAACAGGAAGGTGAATATTGTCCGAAATACATAGAACTTCGTAGAACTTTTAGTTGGGAGAAGGAAACGAGGGGACACAGTTGTTAATGACAGCGAAACATCATCCATACTCTGGGAGCGCATTAAGGTGGATTAGAAAGCAAAACCGTAGAAAAGAGAGACGCGGCGCTCCGTTTTGCGGCGGATGAGTCGTAAAATGCAAATTTCGCCGTGATTGCCAGCCGCGACCGAACTCCACAGTTTACATTGCGAAAACGCAATGTGTGCGCGAGGAAAATCAATAAATTGCTTTTGCCGCGCGCTCGCTCGTTATCGGCGAACTATTCGCGTACTCGCCGATAAAGCGAGCGATAGGTAAGAAAAATCGCGAGATCGATTAGCGAACGAAATGATAATAATTCGCGCGGGTACGCAGTCTCCAAAATAAATCAATTTGCCGAACGGAGCGAGAGATAATCGCCGGTACTCAACGGGACCGCGCGCCCCCGGCGATTTATCTCGCGAATTGTCGATCGCCCGGCAAAGAGGCGAGGAATGAGGAAAAAAGGAACGCCAACAATTACGCGCGCGGCTTTCGCGGGAGAACGCGATGCGAGCGATTAAATGAACGTCGTAATCCCCGTCTTCGTTCCGCCGTTGGAAACGCGCTGCGCGATACAGAGAGAGAAAGAGAGAGAGAGAGAGCGCAAAGGCGAGCTTACGAGCGCACAGTGCCGTGCCGTGCCGCGCGACTACTGGCAAGATAGATTATTGTGCAACGTAATTGCGCGGTTTGCCGTGGAAACGGCCAATCGCCCCGGCGCGCTGTAAGGTTTTGCCGCGCGGACGTAAGAAAAAGCCGATGGAAAACAGAAGTTGCGGTCGGCGCTCGTTTGTGTGCGCGGGCCCGCGTCATCTGTCCGGGAGGAGATGCGACGATACGGATGCACCGCCGGTAGCGCGAAAGAGTGCGTCGCGAAAAAGGCGAAAACAAGACGCCCGTCACGCGCGACCGATCTTCCTCTCCCT